GCCGGGAGCTGGGCACCCCCCGGGCGACGCGGGTCGCGGAGCGAGACCGGGAAGGGGTGGACCCGCGGCGCTGATACTGTATTTATACCCGTCCGGGGCTGCACCCTGAGGTAGGGGCGGGGGAATCCCTTCCCCTCCTCCTAGATCGAGTTTCACGCACATGTGACTCGCGCCCTGGTCCCTGGCACACGCCCCAGCACCTAAAATTTCCAGGGTCACCTCCTCCCCTCGGCCTCGGCCCCCCAGACCTAATCCGGCGGCGCCCTCTCTGCCTGTCCTTTATCAGAACAACCCAGAGATCTGGCTGCAGCCGACAGATCGCCACGCAGGCTGGCTTGGGTGGCGCTTTTAACTGTGCAGTTGGGAGCAGTGTTTTTCAAGAGGCAAAATGACAGGCTTCTCTGGAGTTAGACGGAGGTCTGAGTTTGGGAACTGACTGGCCTGGGTTACCTCTCTGAGCCTCAGCTTCCTCTGTGAATTTGAATGACAACCTGCCTGCCTGCCTGCCGGGAAATGGCGGTGGAACTGGGGGGTACGGTACAGGTAAAATGCTCGGCACAGCCCTTGGCACCTAGCAAGCATAACAAATTTTCATGGCCTTTGCTGCTGTCACTATAACTTTTTCAGCAGGCCCGGTGATGGGATGCGTCCAGATACTTATTAACTGATTGACAACTGGTGCCTCAATCTCCTGGGCCTGTTTCCTGGTCTGTAACAGGGAAGGTGTCACTTCTTGGACTGGGGCGTGGATTGATAAGACAATAAAGGCAAATCGATAGAGATCTATACAGTGTGTTGAAAGCAAAAAAATTGGTGATGGCCACAAAGCTCTGTGGGCACGTGAGCAACTGCCCAGGAAGTTCCAAGAAGATGTAAGACAAAGGGCATCTCTGAACGGCTGAGCCACCCAGACGAGAGGAACTAAGATTTGCTGAGTGGCTGCTATACACTGGGCACTTTCCAAACCAAAATTGCTGTTAAATCCTCAAAACAGCATGGTCTCATTTAAACCTCACAACTTGTCACAGGTGGAGAAGACTGGTGCTGGCAGGTGGAGAACCACCGTGGGCGGAGGCAGAATGCAAACTCAGTCCTGCCTGGCTTTTAAGTGTGGCCCTTTCATTTCTCCAGGCAGGGGACACGAGGACCTGGCAAGAGCGAAGGCCTTGCAGGGAAAAGGCACAAGGAATTCTCTGACATGAGCACAGGGTCAGGCTCCAATGGTTTCACCTCTTAAAATTCATTACTGGCTCCCAGAACTTCCAGAACAAGGTCAAACTCCTTTGCTTAGCACAAGGGGCCCTAGAATGAGGGTCCTCACCCAAGTCGGTCATGGGTCCCTCTGAGAATACAATAAAATGCTATGCATCCACTCCCTATGAAAATGCACGTGGGAACCTGAGCATACACACATTTCCATTAAAATTTCAGGGTTACTGTGAACGCTTTCCCAGGCTCCTGGGATCCATGGACCCCTCAGGCGGTAATGCTTGACTTCCCCCAACCCACATCTCAGTGTTTTCCCCTGTGGACTGTCAACTCCCTGAGGGCAAGGGCCTGGTCTGTTGTATTCACTGCTGTATCTCTAGCACCTAGACGAGCACTTGGCATCTAAGAGGCACTCAGTAAGCACCTGTGGAATGAAGTGTGAAGCCACCTGGTTTCACACCTTGCCTTTGCACCTGTTCCTCCTTGTAGAGATGACAGAGTCGTTTCTTAATTTCTAAGGTATTCATGTCTTATAACTCGCCTGAGTTTTATCTCTTTCTGGAATCTGCTTGATCCCTTAGACTGGCCTAGGGGCCCTGCCCACGCACTCCCCCCAAACCCTATGCTAATCTCTACTGGAGCCCTCACACTGAGCTAAAATCATCAGTTTACTTGCCTGCCTGCCTCCCCATGAGATTTCTATCTCATGGGGGCAGGAGCCACATTGTAGGTGGTGTGTAAACCTACCTGGGGACTGTGCATGTCACAAGCCCATGGTAAACATTTGTTGAATAAATAAAACAGAGTGGTGGGAAATGGAGCTGAAACGGCAGGCTGAGGTCAGTTTAGAATGACCTCTGCGAGGCCAAGGATTTCCAATATTGTGAGCTAGGTGACCGGCAAATCTTGGATTTTGTTTTCTTTTGTCTTTTTTTGTTTGTTTTTAAGGAAGGGGCTAGATATGGTGGGGTTTGTGTGTTAAATGAATGCAGGAGGATACTTTGGGAAGGGGAGAGGCTCTGATCCCCTGACACTACCCATTGTTCAAGTAGAACAGCATTATCACACTAGACCTCCCTCTGGCTCCTGGCTCCAAGCTGCTTCATGGTCAGTGGATGGGAGGACTGGCTCAGGAGTGACACAGGCAGGATCCAGGTCCCAGCTCTGCAGCTGATTAGTCGAGCAATTTTGTCCAAGGCAGTTGCTTCCAGAGACTCACTCTTCTAGTCTGTTAAGTGCCAAAAATAATAATAAATTGGGTTCCTGGACCCAATTCCAATGTTGGGGGGGGGGGCACACCAACAAGCAATTCTCAGCAGGGTGTCTGAGAATTCAACTCAATTCTCACATTATCTACCCAGAGATAACATCAGATTCCACAAGTTAATGGTTCAGTCGTACAAGACTGCCCCCGCTCTAAACACACTTCAGATCCCAGACACCAGCCAGCCGTAAGCCCAGGCTCTCTGTGCCTCTGACCAGCTGGCTGCAGACTGACGGTTCCAGCGACCCCCTCCAACTCACAATGCCAATCACAAGTCCAGGTTGTCACCTGCACTTCTGACCCAATAGCCTATAAATCAGAGGTTCCTACATACCCCTCCTTGGGTTTGATTAATTTGCTGGAACAGTTCACAGAATTTAGAGAAACGTGTTACTTGATCACTATTTTATTGTAAAAGGATGCAACTCAGGAACAGGTGGAAGAGATGCATAGGGTAAGGTTTGCTGAAAAGGGCATGGAGTTTCCATGCCCTCTCCAGACCTGCTTCTCTCCCCGAACCTTCACCTGCTCACCACCTAGAAGCTATCCTTCCTCTTGGGTTTTTATGGAGGCCTCATTACATAGAAATGCTTGATTAAATCATTGGACATGGGCAATTGATTCAACCTCCAGCCCCTCTCCCCTCCTCTGGAGTCATAGGTCAAAGGGGGAAGGAAGGTGGGACTGAAAGTTCCAACCCTCTAATCACATGGCTGGTTCTTCTGACAACCAGCCCCCATCCTTTGTTGCTTCTGAAATTCCCCTCACTCACATAACAGGATACACCTGTATCATTCTCAACACTTAGGAAATTCCGGTGGTTTGGGGAGCTGTAAGCCAGGAACTGTGGATGAAAACCAAACATATATGAGAAAT